CTTCTGTGGCTTGGACCCACCCGTCGCGCCAAAACTTCCGTAGCCTCGCGAGGCTTCCATAACTTTATATCTTTCTAACCTACCAACTTCGTCACGCCGTCTTCCTATAGCAGGCGATTTACCATCGAAACGCCACCTCGAGCGACCGGAAAAATGGCGACTCTCGCAGACGAGCTTCTCAACGATTTCGAGGACTCTGGCTCGGAAGCAGAGGAGACTCAGCAAGACAATGATCCCCTAGGACTTGATCATGCGCCCGAAGCGAGCGGTCGCAAAGCATCGGGCGGCATGGATCTGGACGATGACCAGAGCGAACCCGAGGATCAAGATGAAGAAATGGGTGGAACACCAAAGGGCGCTGTTGATCCTGTCGAAGATGCAGAGGATACAAAGGCAAAGGTCGAAAAGATGCAGCTGGGTGGCGTCAACGATGTTCGCAGCGTCGCCAGTCTCATGTCAAGTTTGGAGCCGGTACTAGAGGTATGTGACACACCTGAAAACACGACTGACTTGATGGAAGCTGTGTTTACATCGTCTCTTGGGAGAACTAGCTCTAACATCGTCACTCGAACGCTACAGAAAATCGCACACTACCAGTCGCAACCGACCCCTACAGAACTGCTCGGCAACATCGAAGACCATCCCGAATACCACCTTCTGACACAATCGAACAGTCTTTCGACTCTCATCGACAGCGAAATCGTTCTAGTGCACAAATATATCCGAGACCACTACTCAATACGATTCCCAGAACTCGAAACGCTCATCACCAACCCGCTGGAGTATGCGAAGGTCGTGGCGATTTTGGGCAATGGTCCGCTTGACTCAGAGAACATCAAGAAGCTTCAGCACTCAACGGACAATGTCCTTCAAGCTTCGCTGAAGTCTGTCCTCGATGGACCATCCCTCATGATCGTAACAGTTGAGGCTACGACAACGAAGGGCAGAGACATGTCGCAAGAAGAACTGGAGCGTGTATACAGGGCCTGCGAGATGGTCATCTCCTTGGACAAGGCGAAGAAGACCTTGACGGGGTATGTCCAGTCGCGCATGAACCTCTTCGCGCCGAATTTGACTGCTATGATCGGTTCACTTACGGCTGCCCAACTGCTGAACGCCGCCGGTGGCCTTACTGGTCTATCAAAGACACCCTCGTGTAACATTGCAGCGTGGGGTTCGAAGAAAGGGGCTGGTGCCGCAGGCTTGGCTACGAATATCGGCGTCAGGCAGCAGGGTTTCCTCTACCATTCACCCATCATTCAAGGCATTCCCAACGATCTCAAAAGACAGGCCATGCGCATCGTATCGGCCAAGCTCCTGCTCGCGGCCCGCGTGGACAGAATTCACTCCAGCGCCGACGGCTCGACGGGCGAGGATCTCAAGGAGCAGTGCCTCACAAGACTCGAGAAGCTCACGGAACCGCCTCCGAACAAGGGACCCAGAGCTCTGCCGGTACCAGACGACAAGCCTTCCCGCAAACGTGGTGGCAGAAGGGCAAGGAAGGCCAAGGAGGCTACGGCCATGACGGAAATGCGCAAGGCTCAGAACAGAATGGCCTTTGGCAAGGAGGAGCGCGAGGTCGGCTACGGCACAGGGGAGACCACGGTCGGTATGGGTATGATTGGGCAGGGCAATGAAGGCAGAATTCGCAACCTCCAAGTCGATCAACGCACGAGGGCCAAGCTCGGCCAGAAGAACAAGGGCTGGGGCGGCGCAACGCCCATGGGCGGAGCGGCGTCCTCGCTCAAGGGTTTTGGACAATCAGCAAACTCCAACATTGACCTACGCGGCAAGGGCCTGAGGACGTCAGGTGTTGGCACGTCACTGGGCGCGGGAGCGGGCACGGCATCCTCGTTGGCCTTTACGCCGGTACAGGGTCTGGAGCTCGTCGACCCCAAGGTCCAGGCTGAACTCAGTCGCAAGCGAAAGGCTGAGGAGGACCGGTGGTTCAAGGGTGGCACATTCACGCAGGTTGCCAGCTCGTCCAATGATGGCTTCAAAAAGCCTGCCTTGCCCCCCAGTAAGAGGGTCGATACCGGCGCCGGCAAGATGGGACCTCCACCTCCGAGGAGCGGCTGAGTGAGCCCAGCCTGCCTTGCCTACGTGATTGTGGCAAGGGGAGGAGGAGGTTCACGGTATCAAGCAGGGATTTAAGAGTTTAGGAGAGCAAAGTCTACGAAGCATATCTCTTACCCGAAAAGTTAGCCCCGACAGACGAAAAGGAAAAGGAGGGGGAGGGGTGGTTGTTTCCAGGTTGTTAAACGGGTTCCGCGGCTGAGCAAAGACGAAGTGATCACTCGGCCGATGGGAAACGGCGTGCGGCGTTTTAGGGGTGGTCGTCCATTTTTCGAGTCATCGAATCAGTAGTAGGTAGCATACCATTAAGGCATTCTAGGGCGGGATCATGGAAACGAGTCGAAATTTTACCATTGCTCAACTTTGCGATGCTGTGCTTTACAAAGGGGAGAAGAGTGAGGGGTCAATGATGGTCCAGGTGTATGTTTGTCCGTTCCTCACGAGCCTATGATTGCCGGCGCATTGCCGTTTCTACGTTTGTCGGCAGTTCTTCATCTCAGCTCCTCTGTGCGTGTGTGTGTGTGTGTGTGTGTTATGAAGGAAAATAAAACTTGAGACGGACTAGAACAAGATGTAGATTGGAAATTCGCATGTCACGTATGTAATAGCCCAATGGCCGTGTCGATCAAACGTCTTTTTTTGGTGTCAGTTCTCTCACTCTCTCAGTAATTAAGCCGACGGCCATGTGGTTTTGAAATCCATCTCCCCGTCGTCTCCCCGTGTGCTATATCCCCTTTACCAAAACGCCAACGTTTTGTTCCTTTTTGTAGTTCTTCTTCTTCTTTTACCTTCCCGTCGCCAAAAAAAAAGGATGATTTTGCAAAGACGTCTTTGCGGTTCATGCCAAAATAAAATTCTGAGCTCCTTTGAAACACGTTTGCTTGGGGTTGGGGGCCTTACCCGCCCAATCTTCATGACCCTTTGGTTCGAGGGCGAACCAGTCGATCATCATCCGTGCCTTGAAGGATAACGTGCTTGGGCAGCGTGGCAGCGTTTGTTGGGCGAGCAACGCGACGCAACGCAACGACTTTGGGTCAAAAAAACGCTCGTCCCTTCTTTCGAGAACCACGCAGAAGTACGGATATTGGAGGGATAGAAACAATCAGGTAGGGAAAAAAAAAACCAATAAAAAAGAACACGAGGGAAAACCCGTCGGCAGGTCGAGAGTCTAATTGGACAGGAAGAGGGCCGTGATGGCCTTCTTTTGCCCTTCTGGCTATGCCTTTTGGGGTCTGGGCTCACCAAAGGGGAAAGAACGTTTCCTCTGTGCACACACATCGTCGTTTTCCAACCACTCGTCGATGTCGGGCTCACCCCCGTCACCCACCTATCAAGAACATGTCGCAGTCTTGCCGCGCGACAGAGAAGAAGATTTTCTTCGCCCAAGGTTCAGCTATTGTTAGGTTAGGTTCTGCATTGAGAGCTCGCCCACCATCATTCTTGGCTCCAGCTCCCCGAGTCCCCCCCTTCCCCCCTCACGCCCCCACCGTTTTTTCGCAAAAGCTTCAATTGGAGTAGGGCCGCGAGAGGCTCGAACGGGGCCACGAGACGACGATTTCCCATGGAATTTGAGAACAGACGGACGGTATGCATCGATAAGGGAATAAGGAAGGTTCTTTGGGGCTACCATATACAGGATGAAGCCCGCCCATCATCTGTGCCATGGCCAATACTGACGAGATAGGGCCACCAGCTCACGCGACCGCGCCGTGCAAAATAATCGAACGCCCGAACCCGTCGTCGTTGCGAGGCTTTCCAGACTTGGACTGGACTAGGATTTTCCGGGGTATCCCGCTATGAAACGCCGGGGTTCGAGCCTGCGCTTTTTCTTTCTCTGCCCTCTCTTCCCCAATTGTGGCGTGAGTTTGTTGTATGTGTAGAGTTTTTCTGTTATTTTTGCTTTCTCTTCCCAAAGGTTCTATACTGGACCCCGAGGATCCCGGAGTCGATTCTGACGGGCGAATAGTGATCACGCCAGGCACAGATCGACGGTTGACGATAGAGTTCGAGGCAACGTTGACACCAGCATTGCTTGACTGAAGCTCTGTGGGTTTGTACTCGTACATTCCGGAATATTGCGCATTTTCTCGGCATGCCAATTATTGTCATATTTTCGGGAAGTCGACCCTATTCTTCTACCAAGTCCGTAGGTCGTTGTCATTGTTCTGAGCTCATTGGCGCAATGGGTGCAGATCCCGATGGGGGTGTTGCAAACTTGCCATGGGCTTAGCAATGCGTCTTTCGTGCCTAGAATAATGGGCACATGTTTCGGTTCGCTGTAGCCCCCGTTGGCCCAGCAGTGCTAACCGTAGCACCTTACTGTATCCGTACACCGTAGACACCGTAGGGGCCGTCGGGAATATCGTCCGCGGCCGAAAGACAAGCGGGGCCGGTAACGCATGCCCGCTGCCACAATGACGTACCGCTTACCACTGACACGAGGGTCGCCAAAGACGGAGTTAGGTCCCTTGAGAATCTATAGGTTGTTACCCATAGTATGAGTGGGGAGTCAGACTGCAAGCTGCAGCCTGTCTGTAGTGTACTCCGTACTGCGAACAGCAACCACAACCGAGGGGCGCGCTGCCTCACATGGACAAAGTGTTGTCCCCGCCCCGGTGAGCTTTGCGAGGTCCCTGGACTTTTCTGTATCTGTATCCGTACCCGCATCGTTAGCAAGGGTCTGAGGGGAGGGGAGGGGTCAGACCGAAGAAGAGCAGAAGAGGAGAAAAGGGGACCAAAGCCCTTCACCCTCGTATGTTTAGAAGCATCCAACAGACAGGAAAAGACAGGCATACTATAGGTAATCTCTTGCCGACATTGGCTTGTCTCATCACCTTCTCTGGCAACATGGACGTCTTCTCTTGCATCAGCACATCAGCATGGACCCGAAATCCCATGGTCTGGCAGTTCGCTTTGATGGCACCTCCAAATTTGACTTTGTGGCTGCAGCTGGACCCCATGTTGAGAGTGCGGTCCAGAACTTCAGGGACCAGAGGATCGTCTTGACAAACGCAGGGAAGCCCCCAGCAGGAGAGGACATGTTCCCCCATAAGACCTCAGACAACAAGGGACCAAGTGCACGACGAAACAGGCCTGGCAGTACGTACCGAAGATACATATCTACCCATGTACCTAGGTTACCAGGGTCAGCAATCCAATCCCCCGATAAAGAAAAAAAATTGCACCCAAAATGTCAGACAGCATTCCGTTGGCTGATTGAATGGGATTAACACCTTTCCTAAGGGTCTATTATCGCTGATCTCATATCCTGTAGGCCGCTGCACAGCTAAGCAAAAACTGCCGACCGCTTGGAGGCTGCTCCGTATTGACATTGGGGCCCAGGAGTGTATGTTTGACAGCTTTATGGAAGGCCAAAGACTGGGCAACGGGCCAGAACTCCGAGCTCAGCATTTTTGTCGTTAAAGTGGACGGCGCTTGGGTTCGAGCCTTCGAGGGGAAAAAAAGGAAAAAAAAGAAAGAAACAGAAAGACAGGCCACTCGCAAGGGCCCACATGCCATTGCCCCCCGTCTTCGGGGAAGACGTAGGGATGAAAACTCAATGACGTGAGGGTGATGTTGGGTTATATTGGTCCCCAGCCGGACTGCGGGGAGGCACCCTTCTTCCCCGACCAACTGGGCCGGGCTACAATGAAAAAGGGACGGCGCTGTATTGCCAGCTGGTTGGACGAGTGGAAGACGGGTGGAGAAACAAGCGTACACTCGAAACGCAGGCAGAAAACGGAGAGAAACGTGCATTTGCCGAATTGAAGCCGGGCCGGAGACTGAGGAGAGCACACTTTGTTAGAGGACCCGAACAACTGTGTTTTCAGGATAAATCGAAACAGGACGCGGCCTGAAGGTGACGGTCCGCGGAACCTGGACCATTGGCTGCGATCCTGTTGATAGTGAAGAAAGATGAAGCATACTCGGCCATTGAAGCGACAGCGGAGAGAAAATCGACACACTCGCTGCGTGGTACAAACGTGGCAATAGTATCTGCAATCAGTCAATACTCAATGCGAGTTACACCGACACACCACACAACCGTAATCACAGGGGTTGCGCGTAAGGAAGCAACGAACCTGTTTCTTTCAGCGCCCGTGCTGTGCTTGGGTCGTAATTCGTACGAAGAACGGTATATGCTTAACCCAAAGGGAAGTCGACTGTCAGGGTGCAGGCATGAGCGCGTCGGGTAAGCCTGATACGGTTTTCCTGTCAGTCTGTCTACATACCTAGTTGTCTGTCAGTCAGTCAGCAAAGGCGCACACAACAAGGCACGGATAGCTGGTTAGATACATAATTACATGGAGCTACCTTACCTTAGGTAATGAAGCTCCATGCCGCGGTGGGGAGAGGTGCCGCTTTCACCGTTTGCCGGTGGAGTGGAATAGGATTGTGGACTCGTCTAGGCCTTGCCAAGGGGCACCCGATGTATCCGCCCGGCACCACGGCGTGGTTGAAACCAGGGTAAGGTAGCTGCGCCAGGTGCGTTGGAAGGCTACGGTCTACCATGTCCCTGTGGTATTTCTGGCACGAGTGGAGCTGTCGCAACTGCGCGAAAGAGAGAGAGAGCGAAGGGCGGCAAGAGAGTTTTCGTCTTAGGGGACTAGATGTGCTGTGGAAGACCCACATATTCGTACCTACGTCACTCTGGTGGTTGAAGGACGACAATAGACCCGCCGAGAGTGATGGGTATGGAGTATGGAGTAGGTATGGACCCTTAGAACTGCTCAGTAAACATATTTCGATCTCCAGCAATCGGCGGTGATAATGGCGACGGTACGGAGTACTGGGTCGAGGAATGAATGAGCCAATGCTTTGAGGTGGTATATATCAGCTGTTTCTTTTCGCGCCTCGCATTCAATCGGTGTCGAAAGAACCGTTGCCCTGTGTACGCCTCGACACACCAGCTCTTGAGATGATTGTCTGCAGCAAATAAGCGCACATTCGTGTGTGTAGGTGTTCGTAGAATGACCGGCCTGAGAATGTGTAATCGTATGCATTACAAGCTGCAAATGCAGAGGCATACGGTACCGGAGCAGGCACTCCGGAACGTGTGTGCCTGTCAATCGGGATTCGGTGATCGGTGATCAGTTGTGATCAGGCGGAATATTCTGCGGCTGGTGCGACGTTATCTTCAGGGTCTGAATGGTGCATTAGTTGGGTTGGGCTCCGTCAAGACTAACAGCGAGGGACCTTGGTTCGGTACCCTAGGGGTCGTGATCGTCGATCTAGCTGAGGATGGAGGTGGGGAAAGGAGTGCAAGACTCGAGAGTCAGCCTAAGAGTGCGCGCACGCCGCACACCGTACGCCTGAGGTAGCGGCCACAGACGTTCTCCAAGGAATTGGACGGGAAAGTAAAACGGGGCGCAGGTTTGCGGGGCTGTCGGGTTGGACTTGCACCCTTAAAACGCAATGTGCGAAGTATCCGTCCGTCCACGCAGAAAGGGTTGCAGACTGCAATATCCGTATCCGTACGAGCGGAGGAGGTACCTCATGATTTTGCTTACATGACATCCAATGGCTTATCTAAGTGTGAAGCAGGAACGCCTTCGCAGGACGCGACGGAATCCAGTCCGAACGGTACCTTACCTTGATTACCGTGAAATATCATCATCCGCACCTGGTCCAATTGTAAGGCAGAGAAGCTATTGCTCACGAGGAAGGACCTTCGCAGCAAAACTAGAACAACTGTCATAGAACAGAAGCGCACAAAGGGACAGGATTAAAACCTTCTTCGGCTCTAACAAGACCTCTCACAACAGAACATATACGGATACGTTCTCACGAGACTGGGCAATGGTACTCCGTAAATGGAGGAGAGGGAACGAGGGGACGCTCACGGCCAAATAAGCAGGGCAGCAAGGCGGCGCATGATTGACTTGACGGCAAACGGACTGGTGTGGGTTCCGTGTCTGATTTGGTTGAACGGCGCTGTCCGACGGAGCAGCTAGGACCCTGGAGATCGGAAAATACCAAATGATGCACCATGCCTACCTCAGCCATCGTCGATGAGGGACAAGTCACCACCACATGGGATTGTACATGTGTGGCACCCTTGTTCACTCTCCGGTGATTGCGCCACAGGGACGTGGAGTATTGGAGAAGTGACTGGGACGGGGTGGAGCGAGACACGAAGAAGGATGTGAGGAGAAGAGGGTGAGGGTTGACTGGATACTTGCATATCCGTATGTACAAAGTACATACGATAGGCTTAAAGAGGGATTGGACGTGGAGAATGGACGTACTATAGAGCACCTACCTTACGGATATTAGGATCAGAGCTAAAATGGGGGAAGGAACCTCAAGGGCAGGAACACTGGGGCACCATTCCGGATGTCGCAAAGCAGGGAAGAGAGGTGATGCAGGATGAGACCTATAGCCACCCCCTTCCTTTCCCGGTGAGGTACAAATACCTCCTGCTCACCCCATCTTACCAGGGGTTTGAAGTACCTTTCCAGAGGACCGAAGACGGGCGGTCGGGAGCAGGGGTTCCATTGATTAACAATGGCAGTTCACAGTCGAGGGGTCCAGCAAGCAACACACCACACCAACCCGACATCAATCAGGTGCAAAGAACCTTGGTGGGGCCGCGCCAGCCCGCCCAGCCCGTTTTGAGCACAATGGGGCCCAGACGCTTTTTTAAACCCCGATTCACTGCCATTCTCGAGATCTCGAGGTTAACTGGTGAGAGCAGTCAGCCGTAGGACCCTTCAAACTCTGTGGCGCCGCAAAGGAAAAGGACAAGAAAAAACTTGCTTTGCCCAACCCGCCGACTCGTTCCTTGGAATGGCGAAGCATTAGCGCCGCCGCCTTTTGGGGCCACACGTCCCCGAAACCCCATCTCCTCCCATGGCAATCGCGATCTGTTTGTTATATGGCGATTGCCATGGCATTACACTTGCAGTTGGAGACTCTGCTGAACCGCTGAGACTGGCCAGTTCATCTACCAAGGGTTCTCCTCGTCCCTCTCGTCCTTCCTCGCCCTGCGTCGTGTGCCCTCGCGTAGCCCCCATGCTCTGGAGCTTCCCCTCCGCGACCCCCCAACTTGTCTCTGTAGTTGTCTTGTCTCGTTGTTGTCAATGCCCACGGGACGACGCAAGCACACAAGTTCGACTAGGAGTACCTTTGTAGCTAAGGTATGGTTCGAAGCTGCCTCACCGGCCTTGAGCTAAAAGCAACTCCGGGCGGCACGTATCTGGCAACCGTGCACCTAGCCGCCTCTCCTTAGGTAAGCAGTCTTGTCTCCTTCGGTGTTGGCTTCCAGGTCTGCCCAACCTTACGGATACCTTAGTTTTGAACGGAAGGTGTGTATGGACCACGTTCCATGAGTTCATGTACCGGTGGTGCCATTCAGGGCATTGCACCTTGCCTATGGCCACAGCACAGCAGGTAGGTACCTGGCTGTGAGTACCTGGCAATCTGGGCCTATCCGTACTGTACGGGAAGCCGCCGTCCCCAATCCCTGGAACGTGCACCACACCGCTTACGATGGTTTCGCCTGCCGACTGTCCAGCCATACAGATCTCGACCGGAGAAAGCTCCGCTGCTATGCTAACCTGCCGAAAACACGACAGCCAAAGGTTGACTAACGATCGGGCTTTTGGCATTGCCAACAATTTGATTCTGATGAACCACCAAATATAACGCATCACTCAAAGGCTGGCCGCTCACCTGCTGTATCAGGCTATCAGCATACCTCGTTTAACCCAGCCGATGGCGATTATCGCAGCTATCGTTCCACCTCCCACCTGTTACATTGCGGCAGGGTCACTTACTCGCGGACTGACAGATGATCAAGGGCTTACAGATAACATGGGCCACTTTGTCTGCAGCGAGCCACTATCACGCAGTCGCGAAAACGACCAGACCTGGGCCAGAGCCCGCGGGGACAGTGCCGTCACGTCATAGCAAAGAGGGGAAGAGTCGAGAAAGTAGTTCACATGGAGCACTGTGTCGAGCGTCACTAAAACAAATATTGACCCTCTGTTGAACAATGATCAACAAGCACGGCTAAGCGAGCAGATGGTGGCGATGGAAACGTGAGAGTCGAGGAGACTTCGCAACAAATTTCGGACATGGACGATTGCGAAAGCATGCATTTGTGAAAGAATGCCATGCCACTGGCCTCGGATTCAACGAGTCAAAAAAGAAGATCGACTCCCCTGCCATGCGGAGACAAACCTAGGCATACCAGTAGCTTTGCAAGGTTGAAAAGTCTCTGACTTGAGATCTTGATAGGTTGTCTGGTGTGATGTGTCTTCTTTTCGCCACTCGGGTGATCGTGAAGACCGTCTTCTATCCGTACCTCATGTGCCTGGCTATGCTTTCCAGACGGCACAACGGTGCATGACGGGCGAGAACCTAAGGGGTGCCTCGAGTCCTCGACGGCATTAAGACGGTGCTGCCAAAAACAACCAGGTGGGCGGGAATCATTCACTACCAAAACGGTAAGGCGCCTCATGTGATCCTGGTCCAGCACTAACTGATTCTCAGCGGTCTGCCTAAACCTTGCTGGGCAAGCAATTGCAACAAGTTGCGCTCGCCTGCTAGTCCGTGGGGATAGAGCTGTACTCCGTACACTACCCGTGAGGGCGCGCGCCAATCATTATCGACAGACGGGGATGCTCGAAGGTTCCGCTTACCTCCCAAAACTGCATAGCTTGATATCCCATTAGAAGCCGACCCCACCACTCCAGAACGTTTGCCGACTGACTACAGTCTTCCGGTATTCCTTTTCAAGTTGTCACGAGCCACAGAGAGAGATCTCGATTATGGACGATTATTGCCCTTCTCGGCTTGGCAAGTGGGCAAGCATGAGCAAGCTAGAAGACCCTTCGACGCCACATCACAACCCGGTTCCAACTTGATCGGGAGGCTCATCCGTTCCATTGTCGCTCGCTGATAGGCTGCCCTTGACCCTCCGCTCTTTCTTTCTTTTCTTTTCCGGCTTCTTTTCCCCATAGACTATCCCGATTCCGGCACAACTCCCCTCCAAAATTGAATGGTCAGTCCCTGACTAACACTTTTGTCAACTCTTGAGTCTTGTCGTCTCGTTGCACATTAGTAGAGAGTTATGAGAGCTTGCTTTGTGCTGAACAAGATTTTAACATTCGAAGAATCGTTGCTACTTGGAGCTTGCTTGTCTATCGGAAATACACTCCCGGAACTCAGTTGAGCTCTTTAACTATACCATCAGTCGAGCCATACATCCGGGAGGTTGGACTCGGACTTATTGCTAACAACATGGGACCAGGCCGCTGGTCTACGAAACTCCAAGCTCTAGCTGACAACTAGCCTATGGCCCGGCAGGCTCGTATGTAAACTGGAGATTGTAAAGGGACTTCTGGAAGGACGCTCCGGCAGCGATTTGATGACGGTTCAATTATCCAAAGATGCGGCAGCCGTTACAGCATCCTTGCCCACAGCCCCAGCGCAATAATTCGTCCAGTTTCCCTTTTGAGCACGCGAGCCTTAACATTTGGATTGGGTTCGGGTTCAGATTCAGCGATTCGTCCGGAGGTGAGTGAGGTACTTTGCGCTACGTGCCTCACCCAGATGACCACCGTTGCTATGCACAACAGTGCCCATGGTAGGTGTTTCTGTCTTTGCCGAACTAATCGCATAGACGACGGTTTTTAAAGCATTGACAAAATGGCTTTAGACTTCTATCCACGGTCAAGAAGTCGGGTTGCGGAAGGCTCGGGAAGCAACTGAGTTGACTTTGGGACACTTCAAAGCGCTTCTGTCGGCAACGGTACCACGGTCAAACTGTTTCTGTTGAAACGAGACTCGACTTTTCTCTCACAACCTGAGGACCAGCGTTGCGAAACAAAAATTCGCGTATCGCGTGGAATTGACGCCCGGTCGAGGGGGTTCAGCCTGGAGCTGGAACTTGGAAGTACACTTTTGCCCAGTCGCTCTTTTCGTACCTTTGGGGCGGAATGTACGCCTACAAGTACCGCAATGAGCTTGACATAGCTATGACGACATTGGAAGGAGGAAATTTTCCCTCCCCCAAAGGACGCACCGAGGGGGCCCTGCAGGGCGTACATGGGGCATTGGGGACTGCGTCGGACGGGGGGAGGGGGTGTGTGGTAGCCACCCCTTCTTTTCTGCCCTTGCTCGTACCTCACGCCAGCCAAGTTGAGAAGCATCTCACTTCTGAAGCCGCGCGAAGTCAGGTACCCTCTCACCCCCAGGTAGGTTTTGGAGTATTGCCGTCCCAAGCTGTTGCTCTTCATTTACAGAGAGGCCTGTAGATATCCCGCTATAGCTGGATATCCAACGATAACGAGGCCCGCATGACCGATCATACGGGCAAATTCCCAAATGAAGCCCTAGAAGAGCAACGCGGACAACCCTTCTCCTCTGAATCCTTGGGCAGGTCCTCACGTCCCTTACCAGCCTACCCGCCTTGCTGGGTCGAACAGGAGTCTCTCCGTAACACAGATCCGCCGCGAGTGGGCAGTCTACTGTTTGTGGACAACCTCAACCATCGAGGGCCTTGCTTCGGCGCCGTCCCGGGCCCAAGCCTGAGGGAGTAAGGGTACGGATACTTAAGCTCTAGTCGGGGCTTGGAAGATGAGGCATCATCTAGCAGCCTCAACGGGCTACTGACGTCACACTCGCGGACCCTCGGTTCGTGCAGGGTCTCAAATTCCTCTCTTTTTTTTTCTTACTCTCCTTCTGGTCCGAGACATACGGCCGAGTCAGTTGCGTCCACTTTTCTTTCGAGATCGCGATCTTCCTCAAATTCCTCTGCGACAAGGCCCCGTTTGGCTCTGAGGAATCGTGCGCTGTACGGATGCGGGAGCACACAACGACTCATGTTCACTCAGTGGTCAGCTGGGGTGACAGACATGTTGTCGCCAAAAGAGCAAACATTGGATATGGACCCTGAAAATAGTGTGAGAGCATATCTAAAAGTACGCCGAAAAAGGGTACATCATCTACAACTCATTGTGAGAAGCTCCACCGGAACGTAAGTCGTCTTGACCACCTGGACAACTCACGCTGGTGCCATGGCCATGTGAACAGATATGTCAAGACGGCTCAGTCTGGACAGTGCAGTCCCGAACGAAGAGCATAGGAGTGAAGCGAAGCACACGAGACCCCGATCGATGGTGGTTCGTCGCGCCGGAACTTCAGCTCCTGAGAGTCTGATCAAGCTCAGCTCGCAAGTTGATCGATCGTTGTTTAAAAGACGATATAGGGTTTCTTGCCGGCTCAGACTGGTGGAGATGTTGCCAAAATGAGGAAATGACTGAATGCAAGACCTGGACCCTTGTCACGAAGCGAGGCCCGAAAGCAAGGAAGTTGGCACGGTAGGGCAAATGGCATGCGCAATCCGGATCGAAATCGACAGCACAGCGGGCCCAGAACAGGATGGAACGACCAGGGAAAGCCAGCAAGCCAGGCACAAGCGGTCACTCAGCAGGCATATGGCCAGCCCAGGAACCATCTTCTGTTGTCGGTCTGCGTCGCATGTGTGGCTAGAGAGGTAGGAGGGGGGAGAGACCGGTCGATTGGGATCGGGGCTGGTGTTGAAAAAAAATTTTATAATACAAAACTGCTTCAAGTGATTGAATGGATATAAGAATGGGGAATAAGCGACCAGGGGTGTACGATACATAGCAAATGAGAGGAGGGGCCTTGAGTGCGAAAAATATGTGTAAAGGCGGAAAACTTGGCTGCGCATCACCCACTCAGACCATGTCACTCATTCGTAAACTATCGGTCACAGAAGCAGAAAACTCTTGGTCAACTCGGGAAGCCGAGAACTGTAAGGTAGTTCAGTTCGAATGTCCATGATGCCAATATGGCATGTCCCCCCAACAATGCTGTTATCACGATAGCCCCGACAAGGTACTGAAAGTTGAGAGTTCAGATACTAGAATCGTGCGCGTAGGGTCCCTCTCTACCTCTCCCTCTTCCGCGTGTGTTTTTGAAAGATAGAAATAAGCCCCGGAAGAGGCCCCAGAGTATGAGAGCGAAAAAAGCGTGAGAGAGGGGGAGGAGAGTCCACACCTCTCCCACCCCGGGATGCGTAGCCGCCCGCCGCGAAGACTCGGGCTGCAGAGAGAATTGGAGCTGGAACCGCTGAGCAAGGGGTGCTCATAACGCAGAGTTACCCACAGTGTCGTAAGAGTGCAGTGAGAGTGAGAGGTATCTGAAGGAAATGTGGTCCTGGATGAGGGGCTTCTCACTTTGGGGGGGGTTGCCAAGGGGGGGTGGTCTGAAGGAGGTGTCGCACACGGTGGCCACGACCGGACCTTCCACGCTGTGGCTCCGGCCTTTCCTTGCCCAGGTACGTACTTTTACACTTATCCTCGACCCCTGCCCAAATCAGGTAGGCTGTCAGGTACGTACTCAAGGTACGGAGCGCTGCGTAAGGTACCTCAGTGTGAGTGAAGTGCGTAGAAGGTCCGGTACCTCAACCCACGTACCTTTTGTGGCATCCCGGCCAGCGACCACAAGGTGCCAAAGGTGCGCAATTCTCTTTCCCATGCCCCATGCTCCTCCTGCGGTCCTGCCTATACCCAATTCTTTCCCCCTCTCCAAACACTCCCATACACTCCTCCACCCCATTCAGCTTTCTGCACACTCCTCCCCTTTCCCTCCATCCATGCCGACCGGCCCAGGTCCCCTCGTTAAGATACTTTGCTCCGGCCCACCCCCCTCTGCCCGCTGACCTACCGAGCTTTCTACCTCCTCTCTACCACAGTACCTCGATCCGCCTCTCTCTCTCCTGGCTGGTATAATACTTCACTTGCGCCTCACCCTCCTGCGGCTTGGTTAGCTACACCACTACCTCTTACTCTCCCTTCACCAATTGTCCAGCCTCACATCGACTTTCCCGATCCTTTCCAACTACTACACCATATACGTCGACAATCTCCGGTACAACTACATCGTCAACAACCTCTTCACATTAATCACGAGTGGGAAACAGTAGGACCTCGTCGCCATACACAACAAGGACTTGATATACTTTATTCTTTCGACCAAACAAATCCACCAAGGAATCACTCCAACTCGACTCAAGCACAAGCTTTTCAACACGGATACATGTTCAATTCGTCCAAAATGCATGCCCGCGATGCCACCGGTCGTCAGGTCTCGCTCCTGAACGACGAGCCTACCGCCCAACCCACCCACCAAAGAATCGACTACCGCACAGTTAACCAGGTCATCTCACAAACCTTCCACCCGGCACCGCGAAGCAATTCTTCCTCGCCTCACACTCCGGAGCTCCTCCGCTCCGACTCTTACGACTCAAACGCGAGCAACGATCCTCTCTCGCCCATGACTCCTACCTCCTATGATCCTTCCAGAGTTGGCGCATTTCCTGGTCAGCCCATGTACGACGACTACGATATGCCCGCAAAGCGCCCTGCGTATGCGAACAACAGCCGCGCAGCTTCGTATGAGGAGGACAGCTCAGCAACATCACCCTTGCCTGAACGCCCTGGCAAGAGATACCCTTGCCGCTACCGCGACAGCCACGGTTGCGAGAAGACCTTCACCACTTCAGGCCATGCTTCTCGTCACTCCAAGATCCACACTGCCGAGAAGGCCGTGCAATGCACTTTCCACGGCTGCCAAAAGAAGTTCACCAGAGCGGACAACATGAAGCAGCACCTTGAGACTCACTATAAAGACAAGTCTCGCTCCTCCACCTCCGCGAAGGCTTCACGCCCCTCAATGGGCGGTCTGTCAGCTTCCCGCCGCAGGTCCTCATCATCCGTGAGGCCTGCCGCGGCCAGCAACCGCGCTTCCCGCGACCAGCCAATGTGGGAGGGTGAGTCTCCTTACGGATACCCTCCCGGCCAAGCTCCCCTCCCATCTCCCGCTGCAAGCGGTGCGTGGGATTTGCGCGGCCTGCACATGCCTCTTGTAAGCCGTCCCAGTGCCGCGAGAACACCCAGCAGCGGCCTGGACGCGCTGGCAATGGCTGTTGCTTGCCAAGAAGGCGCGTAGAGCTTTATTGGGATCAGAACGATTGCATGTCTCTTCTTCCTCTCTCCCTCTTGGGCAGTTTCAACACTTATACCCGACGGACTCTTACAGCGTGTCCTACATAATACCCCATCATTCTCTATTTCTTTCGGCCGCTACTCAGTGGTCAACGATGCGGAGAAGTTCTCAGGGGGTGCCTGGCTGTGATGTGTTATCAACCTTTCACATCGGGTAGCCTCTCATCTCCCACGTTTCCTTCCTTTTTGATTTTTATTTATTTATTGGGGCAATAGAGGGTCGCAAAGCATACGAATGGCGTACCTGAACATACACGGAAAGGAAACAAGGCAACAAAAATGGCGGCGTTATATATCACGTTTTGATTTTTTTCACCGCGAAGGCCTACAACCCGGGGGGCGGATTTCTTCTCTACACGGCGTTGGTTTCTCCACGGTTTCGTACACATACCCGAATCCTCGATTCAATCAGTACCGAGGGGCAGACGCATCACTGCGATTGTTTGTTTAAGATGAGGAAAAAGGCTATTCCTAGTCGGAATGGGATACATATACACGAGGTTTCCCAGATAGGCTCTCTTTTTGGAAGAAAAACTGGGATGACGAATGCTGGAAATGTAGGAGAGTGAGCTTTCATGGACGGGGGCGCATGGGATTCTAGATACCAAAGCGCCCAAGGTGGTGGACAATTTTTCTTATAGACCACTTACAAGAGTGGATGAGAAATTGGGAGTCCGTCCCAATGTCTATCACTTCCATTGCCTGTCGTCTTGGTTCATAGCCAGCGGCCAGGCCAAAATACAAACACGTTGAACAAACAAACTCAATTGCTTTCTCTGTCTCACGCTTCCACTTCTTTCCCATGTGTAAGGTCGCCCATGTGGCTGGCAATATCAACCATCGAGATGTTAAATCAGAACACCATGAACAGAGTTCCCAAAGTGATATCTCGTCTCACCAAAAATGTCTCTGTGCCACGCCGCTGGTAAACGGAAAGAAAAAAAATACCTAACCAAAAACCCACGATGCATTCCACCGAGAGCTTTTAGCTGTTTGAGCCCGCGGCATTGCAAGACAAGAAAGAATCCGCGCGGCCCAGCAAATTCCCATGGCACCATGCTGCCCATGCTGATCGGCCTTGGTGATCCCGATCAGACGGAGAGAAGTCTGTTTCCCGTGTCTCTCGTTCTCTCTCCCAAGTCCGGCATAGCCAAGAAAAATAGGGAGAGAGAATGGGAGGATACAGGGATGTATGTACGAGAAGGGGTGGGAGGGGTGGCGTTTGGGGAGAAATTCTCCAGCATTGCATGTGCCATGCCATGCCATGCCGTGCCAATGTCATTGCCCATCCCGTCGGATCCAGCAAGCAGCAAATTGAAGATCTCGATCTAGTGTTTTCTTTCAGTGTTTTCTTGTTTCTCGCGATTTTTGTTCCTTGAAACATGGACAGAACCAGAACCACCCCAGCAACTAACTCTACGTTGCCTCCTCGGCCCGAACACGGCGCCTAATGCCTACGGATGATGTCTCTTTTCGTCTTCCTCCTTCTCTTCCTTCTTTTCTTTACTCTACACCCCCGGAGATAAGTGCCCGTCCAAATCCTGCCTCACCCGTTGGAATGGAACGAGGTGCGTGAATGAGCAAACCCGGATCGGTCAAACCAACAGTGTTGCCTGGGACAAAAAAATATTTTTGGGCGTCAGTCAACGAAACGACGCAGACATTAATCCCGCTCGCCGCTGGAATGTAAGTTGGAACGTCCCACGCTCGTTGGTCGGTATACGCTAGATCGCAGCGCAAACCGTTTCCTTCCCACGAGGTCGGCGGGGGGCGTACAATAAGGCTGGGGCGTATGGGCACATGGGCGTGTTTTGGCTCTGGCTGTTCAAATGGTCTCGAGGGCGGCTCAATTCGATGGATGTTTTCGTCCTTCTCTATTAAGTCTATGTTGTAGCTTTTGGACCACCGCCTCCGGCATTGGTAACCTCTATCCGTCTGTCTCAACCCAGGACTGTTGCGCCAGCCCCATTACGCCAGTGGCTTTCCATCATCGGAGCAGACCTGTGCAACATCGACAACTCATCGCGATCGTTGAGAAACCGACGGTTGCCCCTTGACACGAGCTGAAGACTACTGCTGCTTCCAGAGTTCCTCCTTCTCGGTGCAGAGTCTTGCCATCTCATACTGCTCGTCTGTCTGGCAGATCAGTGTACGGCACTTGGCCCTGTTCTTACCGACTTCCTGTACCGTATCGACAATTTTCTTACTGTTAAGGCCGTCGTCGATGGTGAAGCCGAGGCAGGTACACTGTTCTACGACGCGTTTCCGTAGCTTATCGCTCTTCTCACCGATGCCACCGGCAAAGACCAATGCATCCACATCGCCGTGGAGGGTGACAAAGTAGGAGCCGATGAAAGCGCATATTCTGTCAACGAAGATGTCGAAAGCGAGTCTGTGCGTAGGCTCGTCCGAAGAAGCAATGACACCGAAGTTGGTCGTTCCTGTCAGGGCCTTCCATCCGCTTTGTTTGTTGAGAATTTCTTCAGCCTCGGTAAGATGCAACTTTGACGTTGAATTAGGGGAGAGCTTTCCGACGTCACTCGCGTAGTGGAAGACGAGACTGTGCGCATACAAGTTAGCCAGTTGCTAAACACGCGCAACGGTGGTTATCTGTGATTTACCTCGGATCTACATTCCCGCTTCTTGTGGCTCCGGGCAAGCCGGCAACGGGCGTCAATCCCATGCTTGTATCCCAACTCTGGCCGTTTCGGATGGCGCAAGCGCTTGCACCACTTCCCAGATGAAGAGCGATGATGTTCAAGTCTTTGGTCTCTTTGCCGAGGAACTCGGCGACGGACCGAGTGATGAAGGAATAGCTGACGCCATGGAATCCGAACTTTCTGAGGTTGTTCTTTTTGGCAATTTCTTGGTTGATGGGGTATGTGCGGACGTGCTCGGGGATGGTGGAGTGGAACTGTGTGTCAAAGCATGCAACGTTGACAGCGTCGGGCAGCTGCTCCACGCACGAGTTTACGATATCAAGGGCCGGGCCGTTATGCAGCGGGGCAAGATCGCTAAGCTCCTCTAGGTGATGATATGTGTCCTGGGTGATGACTTGGGAGCACGGATAGTCGCCTCCATGCACGATGCGGTGACATGTCAAGGCAATGTCGGCCTTTTGCTTGATCTCGGGCAGTTCTGCGTCATCAATCAGGGTCTTTAGAAGCACCTTAAAGGCATCATCTTGTGTAGACACTTTTTCCTCCAGATCCTCGTTCTTCTTGACTTCAACACCGCCGCGGGTGTAAGAGACTTGAGCCGGTGGAGCCGTCAGACCACTGATAGATGTCTCTGCAATCTGGTGGGGTGATTGCTTAGTCGCGGCCGAGTAGACCGAGATTTTGACAGAGCTCGACCCCGCGTTGATAGCAAGGATAACCTTCATCGTGAGTAGGGTCTGAATGTGAAGTGGTGGTCTGCTGTCAGGACGGAGAGTTTGTCTCGAATGCCTCCTTGGACCGAGAGATTCGGCACCCAGAAGTCGTAAGTCGATGTGATATGCCGCCCACGATTGGGTCTCTTGATTCGGCCGTTGAGACTGAATCGATTACTTGATGGTGGTGTCTTGTATCAAACGATTAAGAATCAATGTGTTGAAATTACGACGCTGTTAGACGAAACAAGTCAAGATGTGACAAGCTGAGATGGGCGAGAATGTAAGCTTTTAAGAAGAGCATCATCAGCAGATGTCGGCGGTGGGATGGTCAAGAGCCGGAGTGGGTGGTGTTGCCCTGGGCACCATGATCTGAGGTTCCTCTCGCAGCGAATGTCCGCCTTGGCCGGGTGTGGTGACGTTCCATGGTGCAATTGGACCTCTGGGGGCGGGGGGGTTGCTGGGAGCTGGCAGCTACAGAACCCCGCGCCGTGCCTTGTCACCCCACGAGATAGTGCAGAAGTGGATATCATGTGGGGCCTGTCAAACCTGTCAACGCCCGGACCCGGAAACCCAAAGCGGCGGCTTCTAGCCATGCACATAACACACCACTTTTTGGAGTTGCCTGATGCCATAGACCAAGCCCAGTTGCCAACTACGTGGAACCATAACCCACCATCGCGCACTCCGTTGTGATGTCGATGTTCCGCGAGCTGAACGCTGATCAGGATTCATTCCACCAAGATCTGTGCAGCGTTGCACCACGTAGGTGCCATCCATTCCTTGAAGTTGCAGAACAATCCAGGTCGAACCCCGAGAGACGAGTCAGTTGATGGCAGCCAACTCCTCTTATCCGACCGATGTTTCGTACCCTGAAATGGATGCTGGTTGAAGTTTGTCGTCGTTCGGGGAGCCATTCAAGCGGCCGAGTCAGACTCATACGAATCTGGGGGCTCCATCACTGGCTCCAAGCCTCTAGAGATATCAGGGGACGGCAGTTCGGACATTTCCCCAGGAAGCATTTCCGGCGATGGCAGCTCAACGTGGTGGGCAGGAAACGGTATTCCGCGAAACTCGCTGTCGGAGCTGTGCGCTACGACCCAGCTTTCTAAGAATCGAAGGTAATCTGTCGCATGTAAGTCAAGCGTTCTTTCCACATTATGCGGCGAGGCAGCAAGGGTATGATGACTTGGTGAAAAAAGACGCTCATGGTCTGCCAATGAGTGATATGCCATACCTTCGCGCTTACTGAACTGGACGCCGATATAGCGAATGTTCAATGTGCCCGACGTTGCTCCCTCAGAAGTCGATGGGCCCCCTTGTGATCCAGAACGCACGCGAGGCCGCATTCGTTGTGCCAGGCTGAAGCGCGAGCGGGAACTGCTGTTATCTGGAGCGCTGCTGCGTCGACTTCCGCGAACTGTCAAGCGGACTTGGCGGTGTCGATCGTCGCGGTTACGCAGTTCACCCTCAAAATTGTGGATTTCGTATTCTCGATATTGACGGCCACTCGCACGATTCGCAAGAACGGTCAGTGAATGGTAGGTCGAGTATCGGTCCCTCCAAAGCTT